GTCACTATTTTATTTTATCTTACCAGGTAAGCCAGGTAAGTGGAGCTGCTCTTGTTTCAGCAGCGACCTGGGCCATCACAGATGATAGCAGCTCCACCACGTGGCTTGGCATCATCATCACCACGTGGCTTGGCATCGTCATCATCATCACCACGTGGTTTGGCATCGTCATCATCACGTGGACATTGATAGCAGCTCAACCACGTGACTCAGCATCGTCATCATCATCATCATCACGTGGACATTGATAGCAGCTCAACCACGTGGCTTAGCATCGTCATCATCATCATCATCACGTGGACATTGATAGGAGCTCAACCACGTGGTTTAGCATCATCATCATCATCATCACGTGGACATTGATAGCTCAACCACGTGGCTCAGCATCGTCAATCATCATTACGTGGACATTGATAGCAGCTCAACCACGTGGTTTAGCATCGTCATCGTCACCACGTGGACAATGATAGCAGCTCAACCACGTGGCTTAGCATCGTCATCATCACCACGTGGACATTGATAGCAGCTCAACCACGTGGTTTAGCATCGTCATCGTCACCACGTGGACAATGATAGCAGCTCCACCACGTGACTTAGCATCGTCATCGTCACGTGGCTTAGCATCGTCATCACCACGTGGCTTAGCATCGTCATCATCATCACCACGTGGCTTAGCATCGTCATCACCACGTGGCTTAGCATCGTCATCATCATCATCATCACGTTGACATTGATAGCAGCTCCACCACGTGGCTTAACATCGTCATCATCGTCACGTGGACATTGATAGCAGCTCAGCCACGTGACTTTGCATCGTCGTCGTCATCACCACGTGGACATTGATAGCAGCAATCAAATACTCTGAACGCGGGGAGAGAGAGAAAGAGAGAGAGAGACGCAGACTCCAAATCTACAGCAGACATTGATAGCAGCTCAACCACGTGGCTTGGCATCGTCATCATCATCATCACGTGGACATTGATAGCAGCTCCACCACGTGGCTTGGCATCATCATCATCACCACGTGGCTTAGCATCGTCATCACCACGTGGCTTAGCATCGTCATCATCATCGTCACGTGGACATTGATAGCAGCACAACCACGTGGTTTAGCATCGTCATCATCATCACGTGGACATTGATAGCAGCTCAACCACGTGACTTAGCATCGTCATCACCACGTGGACATTGATAGCAGCAATCAAATACTCAGAACGCGGGGAGAGAGAGAAACAGAGAGAGAGACGCAGACTCCAAATCTACAGCAGAAGGCATTGTCGGGGTCGGGATCGAACCCGCGACCTCCCGCGTACCAGGCGAGGCGGTCAACATCCCCTAGCCACCGTGATGATGATGATGATGATGACGACGATGAGAGAGAGAGAGAGACGCAGACTCCAAATTTACAGCAGCAGCAGCAGCAGGCGTCGTCAGGGTCACGAGCTCGAACCCGCGACCTCCCGCGTACCAGGCGAGGTAGTCAACATCTTGCACCTCCCTACCCCCCTCCACCCCTCCCCGTGCGTGCCCACAGTCGTTGGCGCGGCTGGGCAGCGAGGAGGAGGAGGGGGGGGGCGGCACCTTCACCCTGCTGGGCGGCACGGACGGCTCGGAGTTCATCGTCATGACGGACGTCGATCACCACCACCACCACCACCGTCACCACGGTGACGACGCCGCCCACGGCGACGGCGACGTCATCGCCCACGGCGACGGCGACGTCATCGCCCACGGCGACGGCGACGTCATCGCCCACGGCGACGGCGACATCATCGCCCACGGCGACGTCATCGCCCACGGCGACGGCGACGTCATCGCCCACGGTGACGTCGATGTCATCGCCCACGGCGACGTCGTCGGTGACGTCGTCGCCCACGCGGACATCGTCGCCCACGGCGACGTCATCGGTGACGTCGTCCCCCACGGCGACGTCGTCGGCGACGTCATCGCCCACGGCGACGTCGTCGTCCATGGTGACGTCATCGCCCACGGCGACGTCATCGGCGACGTCATCGCCCACGGCGACGTCGTCGTCCATGGTGACGTCATCGCCCACGGCGACGTCGTCGGCGACGTCATCGCCCACGGCGACGTCGTCGTCCATGGTGACGTCGTAGACCACGCGGACATCGTCGCCCACGGCGACGACGTCACCGATGACGTCGTAGACCACGACGACGTCATCGGCGACGTCGTCGCTGGCCACGCCGACGCCGTAGCCACCACCACCCAAGGACCGGAGGTGCCGGGCGGCGGCGGCGGCGGCGGTGGTGAGGACGAGGAGGAGGGCGAAGGTTGCGGTGAAGGTCACAGATACGGTGAATGTCCCGGTGAATGTCACGGTGAAGGTCACGGACACGGCGAAGGTCGCGTTGAAGGCGGTGGTGGAGGCCATGGTGAAGGTCACGGACACGGTGAAGGTCACGGTGAAGGTCGCGGACACGGCGAAGGTCGCGTTGAAGGCGGTGGTGAAGGTCACGTGGAAGGTCGCGGACACGGTGAAGGCCACGTTGAGGGTCATGGACACGGTGAAGGTCACGGTGAAGGTCACGGTGAAGGTCGCGGGCACTGTGCGGACAGAGGGCCTCTGGGCGCTGGTGGGGACGGTGGTGGTGGTGGAGATGGTGGTGGTGGTGGTGGAGACATTGGTGGTGGTGGTGGAGACATTGGTGGTGGTGGTGGTGGAGACATTGGTGGTGGTGGTGGAGACATTGGTGGTGGTGGAGATGGCGGTGCCGGTGGTAGCGACGGTAGTGGCGGCTGTTATGATTGCGGCGGCGGCGCTGAGACGTCAGCCGCTCCGCCGGAGGAGGAGGAGGAGGCGGTGGTGGTGGTGGTGTACTCTGTGGTAGAAGGGTGATGAGCGAGCGTGTCTGAGTGTCTGTGTGTGTGTGTCTGAGTGTCTGTGTATGTCTCTGAGTGTGTGTGTCTGTGAATTTGTGTCTGAGTGTGTGTCTGTGAATGTGTGTCTGTGTGTGTGTCTGTGAATGTGTATCTGTGTGTGTGTCTGTGAATGTGTGTCTGAGTGTGTGTGTCTGTCTGTGTGTGGCTGTGAATGTGTGTCTGAGTGTGTGTGTCTGTGTGTGTGTCTGTGAATGTGTGTCTGAGTGTGTGTCTGTGAATGTGTGTGTGTCTGTGAATGTGTATCTGTGCGTGTCTGTGAATGTGTATCTGTGTGTGTGTCTGTGAATGTGTGTCTGTGAGTGTGTCTGAGTGTCTGTGTGTGTGTGTGTCTGTGTGTGTGTGTCTGTGAATGTGTGTCTGAGTGTGTGTGTCTGTGAATGTCTGTGAGTGTGTCTGAGTGTGTGTGTGTCTTTGCCTTATCCGAGTGTGTGTGTGTGTGTCTGTGAGTAGTTTGTGTGTGTGTCTAAGTGTGTGCGTGTGTGCGAGTAGTCTCTGTGTGTAGACAAACATTCCCCGTGTAGCCACTGAGGCACACACAGAGGGGGTATGGGTGGCCACCACCACGCCCGGCCGCCTTTGTATCCCCCCCCCCCCCCCAGTGGCGATTTGTCCACAGACCCCACCAGGTCACTCGTTTGAGGCCGAGTCGACCTAGGGGATGAGGCCCCGGCACCGGTTCGAGATGAATCGTCAACTGGCGGCGGCGTTGGCCGTGAGCGGGAATCAAAGTCAGGGATTCCGGAGCGCTAACCGCTGCACCACCGCTCCCCATACACTCACGCAGACACACAGGCACAGACACACACAGACACACACAGACACACACAGACACACACAGACACACAGACACACACAGGCACAAAAGACAAAGACACACACAGACACACACAGACACACACACACACACACAGACACACACAGACACACACAGGCACACACAGGCACACACACAGACACACAGGCACAGACACACACACAGACACACACACAGACACACACACAGACACACACACAGATAAAGACAAAGATCCCCTATATAGCCTTAACAGACTGTAGGGGCAAGTGCTGTTAGCGAGCACCTATGAAGGCCAGAACGGTACACGAGGGGGTGGGTGGCCAGCACCACGCCCGACCGCCTTAGTCTCCCCAGTGGCAATGTTTTTATCCACCGCACCAGGTACTCATTTGAGGCTGAGTCGACCTAGGGGAGGCCCAGGACCGGTTCACATAATCGTCACTGGTGTTGGCCGTGAGCGGGAATCGAACCCGGGTCGCCAGGCTCGTAGCGCAGCGTAGCGCTAACCACTACACTACCGCTCCACACACACAGGCACAGACACACACACAGACACACACACAGACACACACAGACACACAGGCACAGATACACAGACACACACACACACAGACACACACACACACAGACACACACAGACACACACACACAGACACACACAGACACACACACAGACTCTCACACACGCGGAGACACACACACACAGACTCTCACACAGACACACACACAGACAGTCAGACGGCCGTGAGCGAAAATCAAACTTGGACGCACAGCTCCAGGCTTAAATAATAAAGACGCAGATAACGACGGTGATGGTGGTGATGGTGGTGGTGATGATGATGGGTGATGGTGATGATGATGGTGATGGTGGTGATGATGATGATGGGTGATGATGGTGGTGATGATGATGATGGTGGTGGTGATGATGACGGGTGATGGTGGTGGTGGTGATGATGACGATGGTGATGATGATGGTGATGATGATGGTGGTGATGGTGATGATGGTGAGGATGATGGTGGTGATGATGATGGTGGTGATGATGATGATGGTGACGATGATGGTGATGATGATGGTGATGATGATGGTGGTGGTGGTGATGATGATGGTGGTGGTGGTGATGATGATGGTGACGATGATGGTGATGATGATGGTGATGATGATGGTGATGATGATGACGACGGTGATGGCAAGTGATGGGTTTCGTCTGCACTGTTGAGTGTTGTGGGGGGGGCGGGGGGGGGGGGGGTGCTGATGCCCCCCCCCCCTCCTCCTCCTCTCCCCCTTGCACCACCTCCCCCCCCCTCCCCCCCCTCCCCCCGGGCTGCCGCCGTTCGAGTCTTGGGCCTCCCCGCCTCGTGGCTGGCTCTCCGCCGCCTCGCGTTAATCTGCCTCCCACTACCCCCACCCGTAAACCACCACTCGCGCTGCGGGCGCTGCGGGTACGCCCGCACACCCGGACACGCGCTCGAAAAGTTATCTGCGGCAGGAATTTTGATTTAAAGCTTTCGTGACTGCGGTAATTCATATTCTTGGCTCTTTCGGTAAGGTCACGTTTTATATGTATATTTGTATTTGTGTTATTTTATCGTTTCCCTACAACGTGACTTTACCGGAAAGAGCTAAGGGTATCTGCGGCTCAGCTCGGCTCGGCTCGGCTCGGATTACGCAGCGAGACGGCACCCTTGATGCGATCGTCGCCAACGTGAAACACCGCCTTGCGTGAGAGCGCGCCGGGTAAATCCTACCGATGGTGATATTCGCGCGTCGATGCCCTGTACAAACACGGCAGAGGCAGGCGATCCCGCCGATGGTGATATTCGCGCGTTGATGCCCTGTACAAACAGGGTAGGCGATCCTACCGATGGTGATATTCGCGCGTCGATGCCCTGTACAAACACGGCAGGGGCAGGCGATCCTACCGATGGTGATATTCGCGCGTCGATGCCCTGTACAAACACGGCAGGGGCAGGCGATCCTACCGATGGTGATATTCGCGCGTTGATGCCCTGTACAAACAGGGTAGGCGATCCTACCGATGGTGATATTCACGCGTTGATGCCCTGTACAAACAGGGTAGGCGATCCTACCGATGGTGATATTCGCGCGTCGATGCCCTGTACAAACACGGCAGAGGCAGGCGATCCTACCGATGGTGATATTCACGCGTTGATGCCCTGTACAAACAGGGCAGGCGATCCCGCCGATGGTGATATTCGCGCGTTGATGCCCTGTACAAACAGGGCAGGCGATCCTGCCGATGGTGATATTCGCGCGTTGATGCCCTGTACAAACAGGGTAGGCGATCCTACCGATGGTGATATTCGCGCGTCGATGCCCTGTACAAACACTGCGGGCGCAGGCGATCCTACCGATGGTGATATTCGCGCGTCGATGCCCTGTACAAACAGGGCAGGCGATCCTACCGATGGTGATATTCGCGCGTTGATGCCCTGTACAAACATGGCAGGCGATCCTACCGATGGTGATATTCGCGCGTTGATGCCCTGTACAAACACGGCAGGGGCAGGCGATCCCGCCGATGGTGATATTCGCGCGTTGATGCCCTGTACAAACAGGGCAGGCGATCCTACCGATGGTGATATTCACGCGTTGATGCCCTGTACAAACACGGCAGGGGCAGGCGATCCTACCGATGGTGATATTCGCGCGTTGATGCCCTGTACAAACAGGGCAGGCGATCCTACCGATGGTGATATTCACGCGTTGATGCCCTGTACAAACAGGGTAGGCGATCCTGCCGATGGTGATATTCGCGCGTCGATGCCCTGTACAAACACGGCAGGGGCAGGCGATCCTACCGATGGTGATATTTGCGCGTCGATGCCCTGTACAAACACGGCAGGGGCAGGCGATCCTACCGATGGTGATATTCGCGCGTTGATGCCCTGTACAAACAGGGTAGGCGATCCTACCGTTGGTGATATTCGCGCGTTGATGCCCTGTACAAACATGGCAGGCGATCCTACCGATGGTGATATTCGCGCGTTGATGCCCTGTACAAACACGGCAGGGGCAGGCGATCCTACCGATGGTGATATTCGCGCGTTGATGCCCTGTACGAACAGGGCAGGCGATCCCGCCGATTGTGATATTCGCGCGTCGATGCCCCCGGGGGGGCGGACGAGGCCCGCGAAATCATTTGGTCCTCTGGCCCTGCCAAGTCGACCGCGGGCGGGTACTCGAAATTCAATAAATCTTCGGAGCAAACCTGGCCAGGGCGGTCGCGAGGAGCGACAACACCGTCGATACCGGCCAACATCATCACCCGCAAGCCTCGCCAAAGAGAAGCAGTTCCAGCCCATCGCGTTGCGGGGGTGCCGAGTGAATTAAACGTTTGACCGAATGCAACGGGCTAATTTTTAAGTTGGTGAATTTCGCATGGCCCGCGAATGACCATACGTAGATGTCCCAAAGGGCCCTTGGGCAGAGAAAAAGGCTCCCCACCCCCTCGTCTCAAAAACGCCTCTCAAAGCGTCTTCCCTTCCGCCGGAAGCCGCCGCCGCCGCCGCTGCGATTCTGTGTTTTTTTTTAGGTCTTCCAGACGAGTCGCCAATTGGTGGCACAAAAAAACACCGCGGCCGTTGACGCAATCGCCACGAGAAAAAAGTCGCAGGGTGCGGTGAAACGCACGCTGCACCGCAACTTGCGGATTCGGTCTTGCCGAACTGCTGAACGCAAAACGCCCCTTGTGTTGCGGGGATCACCGTCTCGCGAATGAACGAGGCTAGGGGCTGTTTGTGCGCTGGGAGAGGCGTCTCGCGGCCATCATTTGAAACTCTGTGCCACCGCTCTTTCAAGGCGGTGAGGGTTTCATTCATGGGCGGTTCGTGGTTGCACTCACCCGCCCACCTACCCACATACTTACGCATCCACGCACTCACTCACTCACCCACCCATCCACTCACCCATACACTCACCCACTAACCCACCCACTTAACCACTCACCACCCACTTACACACCCACGCACTCACTCACCCAAACACCCACCCACACTCTCACCCACCCAAACACTCACCCACACACTCACCCACTAACCCATCCACTTAACCACTCACCATTCACTTACACACCCACGCACTCACTCACCCAAACACCCACCCACACTCTCACCCACTCACTCACCCAAACACTCACCCACACTCTCACCCACTCACCCACCCACTAACCCACCCACTAACCTACCCACTCACCCACCAACTCACCCACACCTACTCACTCACCCACCTACTCACTCACCCACCTACTCACCCACCCACCTACTCACCCACCCACCCGCTCAACCCACCCACCCACTCACTAACCCACCCACTCACGAACCCACCTACGAGGGGGGCGTGGCCTCAGCGAGGGGGGCGTGGCCTCAGCGAGGGGGGGCGTGTTAGCTGCCTCCCCCCTGGTGCTTTTTCATTGCAGGTTTCAGGACGAGACCAGCGAGCCTAAATATATCTTTATTACACAATACGTGGGAATAAGTTACCCGGAGTATGGGAAGGCGAGGACGTGAAATGAATGGGTCCACGAACATCACGTTGGTGACACGCCGAGATAGTAACGGGCACGGGCTTGTTAGCCCGCGCTCCATATCAAGTTACCGAGGGGTTGCGCAATCAGAGGGGAGGCAGAGCTCGTCGCTGCCTCACCTCCCGTCTCCCCCCTGCGGTATTTGCAGCGGAGCTCCGCAAATTTGTCGACTTGGACTCTAAAAACCGCTCGGAATCGTACGGAAGCGACATTTATAAAACGCAGATCGGTGGGAAAAACATCTTAATATTTATTTTATTTATTCTTAGTTTTTTTTTTACACACACTGTTCGTAACAGATATTTTCATTGGGAGCATGACGGGCGAGGCTTTGCCTCCCCTGACCGCACGTCCCCTCGGTGTAAACGCAACCGAAGAAGGATTGAATCTTCACTCGAAGCTTCAGCGACTTTACCATTTGGTCCTTTCCTCACCAGGCGGTGACAATCGGGGGGCGAGGAAATTCAGGATTTCATTCACCAGGTGGTGACAATCGGGGGGCGAGGAAATTCAGGATTTCATTCACCAGGCGGTGACAATCGGGGGGCTAGGAAATTCAGGATTTCATTCACCAGGTGGTGACAATCGGGGGCAAGGAAATTCAGGATTTCATTCACCAGGTGGTGACAATCGGGGGCGAGGAAATTCAGGATTTCATTCACCAGGTGGTGACAATCGGGGGCGAGGAAATTCAGGATTTCATTCACCAGGTGGTGACAATCGGGGGCGAGCAAATTCAGGATTTCATTCACCAGGTGGTGACAATCGGGGGGCGAGGAAATTCAGGATTTCATTCACCAGGTGGTGACAATCGGGGCGAGGAAATTCAGGATTTCATTCACCAGGTGGTGACAATCGGGGGGCGAGGAAATTCAGGATTTCATTCACCAGGTGGTGACAATCGGGGGCGAGGAAATTCAGGATTTCATTCACCAGGTGGTGACAATCGCGGTGAGGAAATTCAGGATTTTATTCACCAGGTGGTGACAATCGCGGTGAGGAAATTCAGGATTTCATTCACCAGGCGGTGACAATCGGGGGCGAGGAAATTCAGGATTTCATTCACCAGGTGGTGACAATCGGGGCAAGGAAATTCAGGATTTTATTCACCAGGTGGTGACAATCGGGGGCGAGGAAATTCAGGATTTCATTCACCAGGTGGTGACAATCGGGGGCGAGGAAATTCAGGATTTCATTCACCAGGCGGTGACAATCGGGGGCGAGGAAATTCAGGATTTCATTCACCAGGTGGTGACAATCGGGGGCGAGGAAATTCAGGATTTCATTCACCAGGCGGTGACAATCGGGGGGCGAGGAAATTCAGGATTTCATTCACCAGGCGGTGACAATCGGGGGCGAGGAAATTCAGGATTTCATTCACCAGGCGGTGACAATCGCGGTGAGGAAATTTAGGATTTCATTCACCAGGTGGTGACAATCGCGGTGAGGAAATTTAGGATTTCATTCACCAGGTGGTGACAATCGGGGGCGAGGAAATTCAGGATTTTATTCACCAGGTGGTGACAATCGGGGGCGAGGAAATTCAGGATTTCATTCACCAGGTGGTGACAATCGGGGGCGAGGAAATTCAGGATTTCATTCACCAGGTGGTGACAATCGCTGTGAGGAAATTCACGATTTTATTCACCATGTGGTTTTTTTCCAGCTGATGAAGATCGAAAAGTCGCGATTTAAAAAAAAAATTCACTTATACCTACGTTACTTCACTGAAAGAGCCACGTGGTATGATAATAGTGGTTTTCCCCCTTTTATTTTTCTGGCAACAAAACTGAAACCTTTTTGGCAAGGATTCACGTTTACTGCATTAACCACACTACCTGCAGTCGAAATGCAAACAAAAAAAACACTGATAATATGATGATGCATTGTCCTTGAAACTGATTGGTCCACACCAAGGGACGGCTTTCTTTTGAGCCTCGACCCAATTGGTGCTCGACCAGATGACGCCAAAAACAGGGGGAAACCCCCCTATTATTATATTTTGGTGCTGGCAAAGGAGGTCTAATGACGGACCACAGAGTATGTCAAGGAGTATAGTAATAGGTTTTACCCTTTTTAACTGGCACAAAAACTGACACCTTTATACAAGGGGATCGTGTTTGCAATAACCACAACACAAGCAGTCAAAATGCAAACATAAAAAGAGACAACTCTGTTAATAATATGCACTGTCCTTGAATTTGATTGGTCCACACACGAGACGGCTTTTCTTAGAGCCCTTTAGTCTCCACCGGTGTTGGACCAGAAGACGCCAAAAGGCGTACAACTCAAAAACAGCGCACCGTCAGAGTATTGAGGGCTCAGGGTGAGCATTTACATTATGAGACCTCCTTTGCCAGTAACAAGATATAGGAATAGGTTTTACCCTTTTATCTGGCACAAAAACTGACACCTTTATTCAAGGGGATCGTGTTTGCAATAATCGCAACACAAGCAGTCAAAATGCAAACATAAAAAGAGACAACTCTGATGATAATCATATTGGCACTGTCCTTGAATTTGATTGGTCCACACCCCGAGACGGCTTTTTCTTAGAGCCCTTTAGTCTCCACCGGTGTTGGACCAGATGACGCCAAAAGGCGTTACTAGTACGCCAAGGAGGCCTTGAGAAAGCGTTCTAGATTCTGGGGCGGCCGACGATGACGGCCGACCGACCGACGATTGATCAAATAAAAATCGAACGTGCTCCAAATGCTCCCCACAGTGTGGCTAGGGTCAGGTACCCCATGGCTCAGGCGGCGGCTAGCCGCGGGGGGCGGGAACCGGGAAGGCACCGCGCCCGTCACCGTGGGGACGCTGGGAACACCGCCAACGCATCGCCGGCCGGTGGCCTTGCGTGCCCGAGCCGCCCCAGAATCTAGAACGCTTTCTCAAGGCCTCCTTGGCGTACTAGTAACGCCCTTTGGCGTCATCTGGTCCAACACCGGTGGAGACTAAAGGGCTCTAAGAAAAGCCGTCTCTCGGGGTGTGGACCAATCAAATTCAAGGAGCCGCCGCCTGAGCCATGCGGACCTGACCCTAGCCACACTGTGGGGAGCATTTGGAGCACGTTCGATTTTTATTTGATCAATCGTCGGTCGGTCGGCCGTCATCGACCCACTACTGGATGAAGGCCATCCCAAGAGTGGGTGACTGAGTGGGTGACTGAGTGAGTGGGTGAGCCACTGAGTGGGTGAGTGACTGAGTGGGTGGGTGACTGAGTGGGTGGGTGAATGAGTGACTGACTGAGTAAGTGACTGAGTGACTGACTAAGTGACTGAGTGAGTAAGTGACTGAGTGATTGACTGAGTAAGTAACTGAGTGAGTGATTGACTGAGTAAGTGATTGACTAAGTGACTGACTGAGTGATTGACTGAGTAAGTGATTGAGTAAGTAAGTGATTGACTGAGTGAGTGAGTGACTGAGTGAGTGAGTGACTGAGTGATTGACTAAGTGATTGACTGAGTGAGTGAGTGACTGAGTGACTGACTGAGTGATTGACTGAGTAAGTGATTGAGTAAGTAAGTGATTGACTGAGTGAGTGAGTGACTGAGTAAGTAACTGACTGAGTGAGTGAGTGAGCAAGCTCTGCTCATTTCGCTTTCTGTTTCCGCTGTTTCCGCTGCTGCTTCTGCTGCTGCTTCTGCTGCTGCTTCTGCTGCCGCTTCCGCTGGCCTCCGCCCTTGCGACCGCCCCTCCCGGCTGCCCTCAGCGCCACAATCTCCTGCACCTTCCGCTTCGCGTAGCTGCCACACACACAGAGACAAAGACCCCCCGTGTAGCCTTCACAGACTGTAGGGGCAAGTGCCGTTCGTAGCAGCAGCGGCTACACACACCACCGTCACCACCACCGTCATCGCCGTCGTCGCCACCACCACCGTCGCCACCACCGTCGCCACCACCGTTGCCGTCACCACCACCACCATCGTCACCACCACCACCATCGTCACCACCACCGTCATCGTCACAACCACCATCGTCACCACCACCACCACCGTCACCACCACCGTCACCACCATCGTCACCGTCACCACCATCGTCACCACCACCACCATCGTCACCACCACCACCATCGTCACCACCACCACCATCGTCACCACCACCACCATTGTCACCACCACCACCATCGTCACCACCACCACCATCGTCACCACCACCACCATCGTCACCACCGTCGTCACCACCACCACCGTCGTCACCACCACCACCATCGTCACCACCACCACCGTCACCACCGTCACCGTCACCACCGTCACCATCACCACCATCTTCACCATCACCACCGTCACCACCACCACCGTCACCACCACCGTCACCACCACCACCGTCACCATCACCACCGTCACCACCACCACCGTCACCACCACCACCATCTTCACCACCATCACCACCGTCGCCACTGGCCAGCAGTGGACAGAGCCCGGCCTCCCCACCTGCGCAGCGTGGCGTCCGCCAGCAGCTCCTCCACCAGCGTCCGCTTGCGCTGGCGACGCGGCACCCTCGCGTGGAAGAAGTCGATGGGGTTGTCCACCACCCGTGCCAGCTGGGGGTGGGGTTGGGGTGACCAACGCAGACACGGTTCACGGGAAAAGTAAAAAAAAAAAAGTTTTTCCACTGCCGCTATCGGAACCAGGCCAGCACGGTTTTGCCGTGAGCGGGAATCGAATTCGGCTCGCCGGGGTTTGTAGCACAGTGCAGCGCTAACCACGAGTCACGCACAGAGACACGCACAGACAGACACGCACTGAGACACACACAGAGACACGCACAGAGACACACAGAGACACACACAGACACGCAGACAGACACGCAGACAGACACGCACACAGACATGCACACAGACACACGCAGTCACACACACAGAACAGACACACACACAGTCACACACACAGAGACACAGACACGCACAGACAGACACACACAGAGACACACACAGTCGCAGACAGACACGCACAGTCACACACAGACGCACAGTCACACACAGACACGCAGTCACACACAGACACGCAGTCACACACACACACACAACAGACACGCACACAGTCACACCCACAGGTACACGCACAGACAGACGCGCGGACACGCGCGCACACGGACACGCGCGCACACGGACAGACACGGACACACACGCTCGCCCTGCCGGCAATGCCAGGCCGGGCACACTGCCGCGTTCACCTCGAAGTGAGCGGGCGCACCGTCGCGGTCGGCCTTCTTGTAGAAGCGTTTGCTGTCGGCGGCCCCGCGTAGCCGCAGGGCCGTGAAGCCCTGGGCGACCTCCGGCGTCACCTCCGGCGCCGTCATGCCAAACCAGCCGGCGCCCGCGCTGCTCTGGCGCAGCTCCTGCAGGAGCGAGGGGGGGCGTAGTTGGGGTTCACACGCACACCTACATACACACACCTACATACACACACCTACACACACACACACACACCTACACACACACACACCTACATACACACACACACACCTACATACACACACACACCTACACACCTACATACACACACACACACACCTACACACCTACACACCCACCTACACACACACACACACCTACACACACACACACCTACACACACACACACCTACACACACACACACCTACACACACACACACCTACACACACACACCTACACACACACACACCTACACACACACACACCTACACACACACACACCTACACACACACACACCTACACACACACACACCTACACACACACACACCTACACACACACACACACACCTACACACACACCTAAATACACACACCTACATACACCTACATACACACACCTAAATACACCTACACACACACACACCTACATACACCTACACACACACACACCTACATACACCTACACACACACACACCTACATACACCTACACACACACACACCTACATACACCTACACACCTACATACACACACACACCTACATACACACACACACACCTACATACACACACACACCTACATACACACACACACCTACATACACCTACACATACACCTACACACACACCTACACACACACCTACACAACAACAACAACAACAACCGCCATTCGCCACTAAGTGGCGGTGACGTCACCACGACGCTTGTGCCAGGCTATGTGCACCCTGAGGCCACGTGAAGTGTCGAACGCCCGCTGGCAGGAGGTCACGGGGCAGACCCAGGTGCCACGGGTCGACTGAGATGACTGGCTGATGCACCACCTGTGCCCCCTACTGTGCCAACCCGCTGTGCTTTAGCCACCCGGCGCTCCGCTCGCTGTTGTGAGCGTCGCTCCTCCGCCCTCCGTTGTTGTTGGAGGGCGACTGCCTCCAACTGCCCAGTAGCATCCTTCACGAGCCTCCTCCACAGAGGCCGATCTTGACACCGCTGGTACCAGTCATCGGCAAGTCCACTCAGCTCCACGTCCTCCTGTACCACATCACTCCATCTCTTCTCTAGCCCGTGCCGCGCCCGCTTAGCCCCCTCAATCCGGCCAAACAAAAGCTGTTTCGGCATGCGGTGGCTGGGCATGCGGGCTACATGACCCAGCCATCGCAGCCTTGCCTGCCGGAGGAGCTCACCGATGGGACCCTGCCCAGATCTTTCAAGGATTTGTGAGCTCCTCACACAATCCAGTCTGGTTAAACCCAGGATGGATCGTAGGCAGGTCAGCCTAAATGTTTCTAACCGGCGAAGATGTTCCATTAGGGGGGTCCACGTTTCGCAAGCGTAGAGAAGGGAGGGAATGACCGTGGCCGAGAAGACCTGAAGCTTAGTGCGGAGCGACAGACCAGGTAGCTTCCACACAGCGTTACGCAACCGATGAAAAGATATTGCCGCTCGACTGATTCGGAGTGAGACCTCTGCTGTTAAACTGGAGCCAGTCATAAGCACACTGCCCAGGTATGGGAAACTCTCCACTCTCTCCACAACTGCCCCATCACCGATTGGGAGTTGTGGGGGTGGAGTGTCCGATGGTACAAAATACCCAGGCAGGTGCTTAGTTTTGGTGGGGCTGATGGTAAGGCCCCACCTCTTAGTGGCACGCTCCAGTCTCAGCAGCAGCGTCTCCAACTCCTCCTCTGACTGAGCAGCTATTACCAAGTCATCAGCATACATAACGTGGTTGAGCAATAGGGAGCCATCCCTTGACCGCACCCGGGCATCGATTAGCCTCCCATTATATCTGTACCATATGGAGATTCCCCCGGTACAGCTATTGAAGGCTTCACGAACTACGTGGTCAAAATAGATGTTAAATAATGTGGGAGCCAGAGGACATCCCTGTCGCACCCCAAGGTGTACAGGGAATGGCTCTGACTCCCGGCCACGTAGTTTTACCCGGGCCCGCTCACCATCATGAAGGTCCTTAATGATCGTGAGCAGAGGGTCAGGTACCCCAAAAGCACGAAGAACGACCCAGAGCCCAGGCCTACTGATGGTATCATAGGCCTTGACCAGGTCAATAAAGCAGAGATGTAGGTCTTGTTGGAATTCCCTACACCTCTGCTGTAGCAGACGGACAGAAAATATGGCATCTGTGCAGGACCGCCCTTTCCTGAAACCGCATTGGGGCTCCGCAAGCCTCTCCTCAGCGTGCCTGGCAAGGCGATGCTGAATAATCCTTGCCAGGACCTTTCCCGGCACACTGAGGAGTGAGATGCCCCTGTAGTTGTTACAGTCTGTGCGGTCCCCCTTCTTAAAAAGGGGGACCACCAGGGCATCCTTCCAATCCTGCGGAACCCGTCCAGTGGTCCAGACTGTTGTTATGATGTCATATAGGGCAGTCTGTGCACAAACGCCACCCTCCCTCAGCATTTCGCTTGGGAGATCATCTCTGCCCGCTGCCTTTCCTGGTCTCAGACTCCGGATCGCCTTCAATACTTCCTCAGCAGATGGCACCTCAGCCAGCCACTCACAGGGGGTGACTTCATCCAATATTTGAGGCACCGCAGCCTCAGCAGGGTTATCCTCACTTTGTGCCACGATGTTTTCCTGGCTGTGGGATTTTCCCTCCCCCAGGACCTCACAGAAATGCTCAGCAAATCTGCGAACCTGTTCCTGGGGGTCGGAAATTGGATCACCGTTTTTTCCCCTAATGATGGTAATAGGTGTGGCGCTGCAGGTTACTTTTTTGATGGAGTTAAATAGCGATTTGTGATCACGGGCCACTGAGGCAGACTCCATCTCCTCAGCAACCCGCGACCACCACCCATCCTTGCAGCGCCTCACGGCTCTCCGAACCTCCGAGCGAAGGCTGCGGTAAGCCTCCTCATTCTCTGACGTGGGATTCTGTAGCCGATGACAGTGGGCCTGTCGCTTTTTCTCAACCATCCTGAACAACTCCTCTGTCATCCAGGGTGTCTGGGGAGGTCTGGACCGCGTACCCAAAGCAGCCATTGCAGCTGCATGAGTCACAGTCCTAAACCTCGCCCATTTACCCTCGACATCAGGAGGAGTCGGGGACGATGCCAATCCCAGCCGCAAGCGATGATGAAATTCTCGCTTGCAACTTTCATCAGATAACTGAGACCAGGCCACTTTAGGTTGGAATGGGGTCCTGGGTGTACACCCACCACCGGAGTGGAAGAATGGCAGGCGCATCTTACAGATGACTAGTCGATGGTCAGAGGGCAGATCAGCTCCACGGTAGGTCCTGGTGTCAAGGACATGGGCTCGCATTCGCTGGTCCGTCACTATGTAGTCCAGCAGATGTTCTTGCTTGGACCCGGCATGCATCCATGATGTTGTGTGGATGCGCCGATGCCGGAACAGCGTGTTGGTAATTACAAGCCCATGGGCTGCACAAAAATCTAGCAGCCTCCTACCGTTGTTATTGAGCTGATCTGGCCCATGCCCTCCAATCACTCCAGACCAGGTGCCAGTATCATGACCAACTCGGGCATTGAAGTCACCCAACATGATGACTCTATCCCGAGTGGCCACTTTAGCCAGCACCTGTGACAGGAGGTCATAGAAGGCATCTGACTCATCGGCTTTGCCTGCATCCCTCCACGGATGTTCATCTTCGGTGGGGGCATAAGTAACCACGACCACCATTCCTCGCCTCCGGTTGATGGGAAGGCGAGCCCAAAGTAGCCTGGGGCTTACAGCTTCCCACACCTCACCGCCACGCTCCCACGCCCCCTTCATTCTTTTGTTCAAAAGAAGACCCACACCCTGTTGTTTGGCAGTCTGCTGCCCCGAGTAGAGGACTGTCCACCCCTCATGGTGGCAGGAGCCAGAGCCGGTCCACC